GGTCTTCTGCTGACAAGTCATTGTGCCATGGCCTTACCAGAGTGCAGGCACTTTGGTCTTGATGAAATAATACGTTCTTCAGTTTTATTACTGTGAATATGTTATTGGTTATCAATACTGGCCTTTTTTTAAACCTTATTCTGGTGTTTCTTCTCATGCTTACCCACACATTTCCATGTATACTGTGTTAATACCAGTCTTAAGATTTCTAATAGAATTCTCTATGTACTGGCAGCGAACATGGGAAAAACGCTGGCTTATATAGCCTACGTATACTTAGAGCTGGAATTCCCCAGGTTTCTAAATTAATGTTGTAAACGTTTACAACAGAGGTAGAAACTTCCACATGAGGGTCATGTAGCCATTACCATGACGTACATTGGAGGAACTCCCTCTCAAAAGGCTAATAACTTGCCCCTAACTACCATGTTACTTTGAATGTAAAATTTTCATTACTATCCAGCCAGGCTAAGTAATTTAATTCAAAGGCAGTGCTGCCTTTTTTCCATTCTTGGAACATAGCTGTGCATGATTATATGATAAAGATATACCACAGAAACTGTGAACTCTTCAGAGCAGTGGTCACGTCCTCTTGACTGAGGAATCTACAGTCTCCTGAAATATGTACCATTGTTACAGAATTCATTAGAAATGTTTATACTATTAAATGGAGAATTGTGATTATGGTATTTGTCATTGAAAAATACAATTGATTCTCCTAGGGAAGAAAAATCCAAACAAAAACGTACCGGATAAAATTGACACCAAAAAGCAAAAAAGGCTGGAGATGTAGCTGGAGATGTCAGAGTACCTGGCACAAAGCTAGTGTGTTTAGGGTTTTGTTTTTACAATGCAGAGTATAGAGTTAATGATTCAGTGCCTATATCCTTGCACTTAACTATTTTATCCTAGCCCTAAGGCATACCTAGGGGCAGCAACAAATAAACTCAATAGGATCAGTAGACTTTAAATTAGATATGAGAGTGGCTAATGTAGCTAATACAGATATTAATGTGCATGGTATGTTCTGGTATTAAATGCAGTTGATTTTAGTTAGCTAATTTTGTTTTTCTAATTTTTTTTTTTTTAAATGAGCTACAGTTTTCTGTCCTGGCCACCCAGACATTTATGAAGGTGTATGAAAAGCTGGGACTTTACACAAATATATAGAGACTGCTCTTTTTTTTGTTTGTTTGTTGGTTTTTTTTAGCTTTTAAGATGGCAAGAAATGTGATTTAGGTTTGGAGTAAGCTTTCTAACTGAATTTTCTGTTGAAATGAGCTGTAAAGGAATTAATAATGCATCAACGTTTAAGTTAATTAATAGAGATTAATCCACAGAGTCCAAAAGGGCCTCGTATATAAGACTGTATATAGTTATTAAATTAAACCCAGGGTTCCACTCTGTTGAAGTCAGTGTAATGTGTGCAACGAAAGCCTGCTTCTGATAAGGGCAAATAGCTGTGCTCTGAAGACACTGAGAAACAGGCAGTCCATGCCAACACCACTAGGAAGTTTGTTCCAATAATCATCACCCTTGTGAAACTACCATTTCATTTCTCACATGAATTTGTCAGTATCAGGTTTTACTCTAGTTTTTACATTGTTTTTCTCTGGTAGTTTGAGAATCCTCTAACTAGTACCTTCAAAGAAAGCAGTTCAGATCCTGCCCAAACACTTCTCTGTCTCTCTTTTTTTTTTTTAATGCATATATCCAAGATAAACAGATACAGCTCTTTGAAGTTCTTTCCACAAGCCATTTTCTCTGCCCTTTGAATCATGTCTCTGGAACCTTTTGCTAGTCTTCCAGGTTTTTCAAAATCTCTTCAAACATGAGTATCCTAGTGATTCACAGAATTTTAATATCTGTCTCAGAATGCTGTAAACATTCCTACTCACCTCTTGCCTATTATACGCGTATAAGGATTGCATTGGCCCTTTTCACCAGCATATTACGTTGGAAGTTCTTACCAAGCTGCCTGTCTGTTGTGTTCCTTAAGCCAGAGCCACTCTACACCTTTAGCAGACTTAGACAACGCTTAGCAACTAATTATGAAAACATAATAGAGATTTAGTATTTTGCTTTGGGTTTCTATGAGGCTGCCCTGCCAGTAGTTGTCATAACTGTTTCTATCTCCTGGAGTTTTCCTGGTTTCCAGGATTCAATAAACATAACAATCAGTGATTGGTAATATTTTTACCAACTGTTTTAGCATGCTTTGGGCAGGTTCATGCAGAATGCAAATTTTAAAATATTTTTCCCGGATAAATGTGGTTTAATATTCTCTTATGTTAATAATATAGTAGAAAGTTCTCTATCAGACTCTTGTAATAAAAAAGACAAAATCCTGTTTCTGTTCAAATACAGAAGAGAAATATTTGTTTCATTTACTCTACTATTCTTAATCAGGAAACCTACATTATGCTAAGATTTTTCATACTCCTAACAGATTTTTAAAATTTCTTATTGTCCATCCAGTTACGGATTATTTTTTGGTGTCTTTTTTCCTATTATGTCAGTTTTATTCACAACAAAATGTCTTATTTGTGTCAGTTGCTCTTCATTTCCTCTATCCTTCTTTGGCTGTGTGGCTTTCTCATACGATCTGGTACCTGGTAGAGTTTTTTCCCCCATTACTGGTTAATTTTGATTGTATTATATATTTTTTATTTTATATTAGCTTGAGGAAACTAGTTCTCCTGAGGTGCCAGATTTTGTTTGGGAATGGACTCAGTTTGCCCTTTTTGAGTTAAAATTGGCTAGTCTGTAAGCAACAGCAAGCTTCCTTTCAGTGATGAATTCATCTTTCTCCATTACACTGAGAATGCAAGGTAGTGGTGCCTCTTGTATTAGAAAATTATCATACCTGTTTTTTTAAAACTCTGAAAACTTTTGTTGTTAGCTGCATGAGTAGTCCAATATACTTTTCTTGGGTTGAAGTTCCCCACAACCACACAGTTTTCCTTGTAAATGTAGTAAAAAATATCTCATTTGGGTATCTGTTTCAGTTTGGGCTGATTTGGGTAATAATAAACCTCTGCTAGTAACCTGTTGTGGCTTTCTTTGTCACTGCATTCATCTTACACATTTATATCTTGTTGTTCTTGGATCTATTGGTAATTCTAAAGAATCTTTAATTTCATTTTTTTCTTTCCTTTTTGTCCCCCCTGCCATTGCTGTCTTTCTTTCTGACTGGAGATTAACCATTAAAAAATTCTATAATATATTTAAATGTTCATTAACACTGATTTTTATGAATGATGGTTGCTAGTTTCACAGCCATTGCAATATGCAATTAGTGATTTTAAGTGTTTTATATTAAATTAGAATTGATGGTAGACGAACATTTCCAGTAAATCTGCTTAAATCTGAATAGTTAAATCAGTATTTCATCACTTCAGCTGATTCAGTTGTGCAGAACTCTCCTTCTTCAATTAATTTTTTTTCTTTTCCCCTTTGCTGTATGTGTACCACTGCTGTATGCTATAATTTTAAACTCTTCCATGAAGGGAATTATCTTCAGTTCTAAAATGACCTTTTGTGCTTTTTGTTGCTCCTGTTGCTCATAACTTTGGGAATCTGAGATTCATTGAAATGAAACTAGGACATTTTCGATGCGGCTTGAATACCAGAAAACAGTTGCTTTTACTGCTATGGTCCTTCCTTTGGGTTGGTTTTTATGGGCACCTTCAGCCCAAAAGAGACTCTGCAAGTAAGATATACATAACTAAAACATACAGAGCAGTTCATTTGCTGACACACAGTGAAGATATCTATGAATTAACGAGCTGTTGGGCTAAGCACTCCTGTGCTCACCACTGTGATGAAGAGCTGCTGCCATCCAGGTGGGCACCAGCTGGGAGGAAGGGTTGCCCCCTGTGGCCCCCGCAGAGGCCCCACAGCGTCGGTGAGATGCTGCCAGCTTCCAGCTCTGTCTTTGCTGATTGTACCAGCAGCTCAACTGGCACTTCTGGGCTGGCCTATCACTGCCCCCCAGATTTTTCCCTTGTGGATTTCACACTGGATTTAGCTATGAAGGTTTTAGTTATGCAGCTGGGTCATACCAGAGGTGCCCTGAGAAATGGGAGCTACAGCTCTGGTGGTGGTGGTAGGGAGAGCCCACAGCAAGGGCTACAGACAGAGGATAGTAATAGTGAACACTCTTCCACTTTAGCATATTCTTCCAGGAGAAACAGTAGAAATTATAAAAGTGAACAGTAGAAGACATCCGGACACACTGTAGTTAGAAAACCTGGCAGAGAGAGAAGTGGATAAGTCTTTGCTGGTTCCCGTTCTGGTGATTTCAGTGTTGTCTCATCACTGCCTCAGTAACAATATAGTAAATATTATTATGGTAAAATGGGTTGCTTGAGGTGGAAGAGATCTTTCTACTTTGGAGATTTATATGGCATAAAGGAGGAGAGGAAAGGCCACCTCAGAAAAGTGCATAAACCAGAATTTTATGTTCAGAACCTGTAAACTTTATTTGCTGTAAATTGATGGATTATTCATTATCTTTTTATTTGACTTGTGTAGGGGTTTTGCAGACATGATCATGGTCTGCCTTCTGTAAATCATAATGACTCTACAAGAAAAATGATACAAAGTGATTTCCTCAGTGGGATCAGCATGGATTTCTCGTTCTTGTGTGCTAAAATGAGTACAAGTATTTGTATCTCTACAAATAATTTTCCAACATCTAAATCAGGTTAAGTATTTAGCTCTTTAGTAGTTGAGGTATTCTGAAATCTGATCCATATCTTGCTGAGAAAAGAACAAATAAGGAAGATAAAAATGATCTGAGAGAAGCTTAGCCATACATAGTAAGATAATGTAGATGGTTGCATGCCATTTACTTGGTAGCAGCCTATGAGAAAGTACAGCTGTTTTTTTTTTTGACGTCTTAGGTTTTGGTTTGTGGTACAGTTGTTCCTGTTCAGCTGTGACCATGGTCCCTGCTTTGTTTGCTTTGCTCGTAATCTACCTTGCTATCATTACAGGCCATGGTATCTGCTCTTGTGGCCGATGCATTTGCAATGACGGGTGGTTTGGAAAGTTGTGCCAACATTCAAGAAAATGCAACATGACAGAAGAGGAGAGTAGAAGTCTTTGTGAATCAGCGGATGGCATATTATGCTCAGGAAAGGGTAAGAACCGGTAGCTGAGCTACCATGTATCAGCAGATGAAAATGATCATGCTCTGGAAGACTAATGCGTGCAGCAGTGGGTTGCTGTTTAGAAGCCCTTTCTTTCAAAGGCACCTGTTATTAAAGGGATGTTATATTTTGCTCCTTAATGCACTTGCATCCATTTCGTCAAACACCCACCACTGCCGTACATGCTTAGCAGTGCTGCTCTCCTATGCAATTTGTTAATAGCATATAATTTCCTGTATGTGTTTATCTGACAGTCCATATTGAACAACTGTATATTATAAACTAAATGATCCATTCAGTCTGAGGGACAGGGGCGCTAACTACAGTAACACTGCAGTGGACAAGATGGTAAGTGTAATATCTCAAGCAGCAGTGAATGAAGGAGAGTATTTAGCAGTGACACTTGGTATGCTCAACCTTCCCCCCCCAGCACAGCAGCAAAAGAAGGGTAGGCTTTGCAGGACCCATGGCAGAACCCCACAAACCCTCTCTTTCGCTAATTTTTAATATGGTATTCAGATGGTTGCATCAGCTTGAGTCCAGCTGTGAAAAATTGCCACAAAGAGAAATAAAATTTAGAAAATCTTGATAATTATCTAAAATTGTTCCGTAAGGTTCTTACTTTGCAGTCTTTCAGGCTGGAAAACTGCATTACTGGAGGGAGGGCTTTTTGGATCCCACATAGTGAAAGCTGCCTACTTAATATATCTAAAAGAGAGGAGACAAAAAAACTGATGCTGGGACTAGGTGGAGGCTAGAATGCAATGCTCTTTGACCCCATCCACTCCTGATGTGCTGTTTCCTCTGTCTGTATATCTCTTGCATAGACAGGAAAAAACTAGCATACTAGCTAGCTGGAAAAAGCAAGTGGGATCCTTCTACATCAAGCATATTCCCAGCTGACCCTTTTGGTAATTTTCATTTCAGTGCAAAGGAAATTTGACTGAGGTTGGCAACCTGACCCTCTTCCATGTTAATCGCTTATCAGAATTCTCCCCCATTGCACCGTTTTGCTTTGGTTTTCTCTCACAGCTGATGCAATATCATAGAAAATGAGGAAGTTGCACTGTTTCTCTACTGTTTTCACAAGATGTAGCTATGTTTAAATTAGTATAGGTGTAAGAGAATATTGACTTACTGGAGAACTGGAGTCACTTTGAGAACTGGAGTTATTCTGCAGAAGTTTGCTTTTTTAATCATAGTCTTGATCTCCTTGTAATTTTTAGTATAAACCTTGACAGTGAGCAGATATAATTCAAATCAATAAAATGGGCCATATAGGATTCTAAACAAATGTAAATGTGAAAAACAATCCACAATTTTAAAAGCATTTGTAATATCTGCCACCTTCTTATAAGGAAGACTGAAAGCTATTTTTTCCAGCCTATGGATCTTGCTCTGAGAAGAATTGGCTTTGACCACACGTATCAGCATTGCAACATAAATTTGAAGCTTTGGAAACGGATCATCTGGCAGGAATTCACAGAGAGAGATATCGAGGATTTTTTTCCCCTCTCTTGGCTACTGGCAAACAGCCCCCCTGTTTGGGAATTTGATCACTAATATCGTCTGGAGAAGCCTGAAAGTTGTTCTAAGTTATATCCAGCTGCATGCAGACAGTGCTGCAAAAAAGAAGGCTCCAAAGGCCCAGATTTTCTACTGTGGTAGAAAAATTTCACCTTTGAATAGCATTTGATTTCTCTTGGAATTACAAACATGAGCCTAAATTCATATTCAGGAACACTATGTATTTTCTCAGAAGTATCTTTGGCCTCCAAACACAGCTAAGATTCCTGTGTGATGGAAGGTTGCCTTGAAGATTTGTCAATGCAATTAAGTTGTGTCAAGTTAGATGCTATAGCTGCTTTATTGTGGGAACAGGTAGTTATATGCAAGTGCTTGCCCCAGCAGAGAAATAGCTATGTAAGATAACTTCTAAAAGTCAGTGGCCAGTGAACATCCTAGCAGTTAATGCCAGTGCCTAAATAGGCTTTTGTCTTAGGCATCGGTTAATTCTTCTTAGGTACTTCACACTTGGGGAACAATCTACTTCCCTCCAGATAGTGTCTGTGATTCCTATGAAGGAGAGGAGAGTTATACAGGCTTTTCAAGACTTGGGGGACTGATCCAGTCCAACTAAAAGAGGATTGTATGTCACACTGCTCCTGGGAGGAGGAGCCTAGCTACCTCTGTTGAAGTAGGATGCAGAATCATGTTCTTCGGCATCCTGGGTAAGTGCCTGGCTAAAGATGGGCACCGCTGTCACGGCCATGTTGATTTAGTTGTGAAGAGGACCACGGCTACTGTCTCCTGCAGCTTCTCTGAGCAGGATGGGGATCATAGGAAAAGTTAGTCAATGTACCCAAAATTTTTGGCTGTATGCTTGCCTTTTTTGTCTTTTTTTTAAAACAAATCTATTCTTGATGCTATATTTGGAAATCACGTATTATTGCGTACCCATACTTTAAAATGTTGTTCATGGCTACAGTGGCCAGCAATATCCTGAGGCCAGAAATGAGAAATTTCAGTGCATTAAGCAATAAATAACCGTTATTGCTCAAATAACAGGGATTTTAGAACCCATGCTCTAATGAGTTCTTTCAAGGTTGGTTATCTCCACCTTTGCTGGAATCCTAGACAAATGTGCAAACACTGTAATGGATTTAGGGAGCCTCAGTTTTTGGATGTCGGATTTGATAGACTCTAAGGACTCCTGTTTTTCAGCAGGTCACTGCTGAAAACACTTTCATAAAATTATACTCTCTTAATATAACCAAAGTTGGACATCCACAATCCTATCTAGTTTCAAAATCTTGGCTCACTGACTATACCACCTGTAGTAAAAACTCTTACCAAGGAAAACAGCAACACCCACCATGCTGCTGCCTCTCTGGCAAGAAACATAGGGCTACAGATGGCTACTGTAACTGTGCAGGACTCAGGTTAGTTAATGAGCCAAAAACGATCAGAGAAGATCTGGCCGGGATTCCAAGGAAACACCTCTCAACTAATTAGACTTGTTTTAATTAGACTGACGAGGCTCCCCAAGCAGCATGCCCTGTTCAGGGAACAGACTTAATACATTCATTCTCCCTAACAGATTTTATATTGTGGAGCCTGATGTTCTTAGTTTACTTGGTGTTAGATTTGCTGTATCTTCCACAAAATAGCCTTGAAATATCTTGGTCATGTTTCAGTCGCAGCATCAGCATTTGGTTATGGAGAGTCACACCAGGTTTCTTCAAATATCTTCCTCTTAATTCTTTTACTTTTACTAAAATTCTCATACTATGGTGCTTTTCATCATTATCTTCAGTTGCCTTTGCCTTGTGGTTTGTAGAAACAGAGACAAACGATTTAAATGACTCTGAAGTATGTATTAGTGTATCTCTTTGTAGAGTAAGCATGCAATATGTATGCTATTCTTCACTGCCTCTGTGTAATGGCGTTTTTATCCTTGTAGGGAACGTCAGTGTTTCCTGACTCCCATAGATCTGTAAGCCGTACTCACAGAACGCACAGAGTAGTAGAGGCTTTACTAAATGGTACCATTCCCAAATGTCCCAATCATTAGTTCTTTCCGTATGTATATTTTCATTCCATATATTGCAATTTAAAACAGCATTTCTCAAAAATTAGTCAGTTAATTTTTGTCACCTTATAATAAGCAGAGTAAATTAGCTACATTTTTAATTAAAAATTAGATAGTCTGCAAAGGCTGCTCTGAAGTTTTAAAGAATTAAGTTCCAGTGATCAGAGATACTTTAGTGTTTGTGGAAAAATCCTGTGGAAATATAATTGACATCAACATATACACATTTAAGGAAATCTTATATTTGGATTTTTACCACGGATTTCTTCAGAGGTCACTGAAAGGAACGCAAAAACGAACAGCATCATTTCGTATACTTTGGCTCAGGCCCTGCAGTAACCCATCAATTCTGTTTAAGTTACATTCCAACAGAATCAAACTTCCCTCTATGTTGTTTTTAATATTGCGTTAAATGCATTGACTTTTTATTACCATAATTTTGGAAAAATTGCAAGAGAGTGAGATTTTCGACAGCACCTAACTCATTTAGAAGCATATTCTCTTAAAGGTCAACAGCTACTTAGGCTACTTTTTCTTTTTTTTTTTTTGGTCTGCCTCCCATTGTTGAAAACTACATATGTATTGTCTGTTATCACTTATTTGAGTTTTCTGGTGGGAGGAGAGTTTTTTTATTTTGTTCTGTTTTAAAATAAATTCTGCAGCAATCTCCTCTTAGAGAAGGATCCACGAAAGACTTTTGCCTCTGCAGTTAATAGACTCCCCATCTTGGCATTTAAGTGTCTGAATTCTGTATAGAGAGGGGACTGGGCAGCTGAGGATGGGCTCCATAAACGCTACTCACTTTGACCCGGAGGAAATGCCATTTCCTAGTGGCATTTCTGAGTTGCAGAAAGGCGACTGTCACAGACTTCCCAGGCTACTCGCTCCTCAACACGTGGTTGTATAGGGTCAAACATCCCTTTTCACGATTCAGAGCCATAAACCTTCTCCTGAAGGTAAGGGTGCGTGGGAGTCTTCCCTTTAAAAAGAGGTTGCTGGTGCCACCTCAGGCCTCGACGGGCTACAATGCTCTCCTATACCTCACTGTTGAGTCCTTCTTGAGCCTAAGGAGGAGAGAGCTGACATCCCCAGGGGAGGAGGAGGTGAGTGGCTTGACCTGGCAA